CGACCGCAAGTGTCCATCATCCTGCTGATCCCTCGTCCTCACTGTCGTCGGTGTCGCATCGTCGTCGTTGTCAGCATCGACGCCGTCGATCGACGGTTGACATCACGTCCCACGCCGTGTCAGAGGGTTTGGAAGCGGCGGCCGATCGAATGACACGCGAGGCGACCGAGCAACGACGAACACGAAACCGAAAAGTAGAGACGACAGAGGAGTTGCGTCCTATGAGGGGCGACGACGAACAAACGCGAGATGCTCGAGAGCACAGTCGGACGGCGTCCAGCTGCGAGCTGGACGGAGCTGGACGCCGTCCAGCTCCGAGCTGGACGGAGCTGGACGCCGTCCAGCTCAGAGCTGGACGGAGCTGGACGCCGTCCAGCTCAGAGCTGGACGGAGCTGGACGGAGCTGGACGCCGTCCAGCTCAGAGCTGGACGGAGCTGGACGACGTCCAGCTCTGTCCAGGTCGGGCTGGACAGGGTTCGGCTCGATCCTGCTGGGATGCCTCGGCGAGTTTGGATGCGTCCCCCCACCCTCGGTTTGCCAATGGCTGTGCTCGCTTTGCTATGCCGTCTGCCGTTTTCAGACGGTTGAGCTTGTTTTTGCCCGCCGCACCTTGCAGCAGCCCCCGCCCTTGGACCCAGCGCACACAACACGGTGGTTTCGGGCTTCAGTCTTACTGACTCCCACACCCATTGAGCGTTGAGGATGGATGGGAGAGGAGTGTGAGTAAGGAGGAGTGCGAAGACGAGGGATGTTGAGGATAAGGATGGGTGGGGAGGGATGCCGAGCCGAGGGCAGCGAAGACACGGAGATTCGGCCCTCCTTCTGCAGGTGGCCCCCTGGTCCCGAAGCGATGGCCATGATGGCGTCATCGTCCCTGCACCGTTTCCTTCGTGTTCGGCAGCGTGATGAGGGCCAGGACTCCCAGCGTGTGGTGCGCCAGAGACTTGATTCTGACGCTGACCTCCCAGCGTGGGCGCGGGCCTTCCGCACGCTTCCTGTAGTTGCTGCTGCCAATGGCAAGGACCTTGCCGATAACAATTATCTTACCATCTAGTCACCGCAGTCCACGTTGACTCAGTAGGGCGGGGGGTGGTGATAAGTGCTGTGCTGAAATCCTGTCAGGACCTCAAGGTGTTGACCATTTGTTCGGGGATCGAGTCGCCATTGGAAGCGCTGCGGCTTCTCGGTGTCAATCCCATCTCTACTGGATATTGGGACACGGAGGCGCGCTACGACGCTTTCGTGCATCGGCGCCCTCCCAAGACAAATGCCAACTCCAATGCTACCCCTGCCATCATATGACATGTTTGGGTAAAGTGCAGGGTCTCGCCTCGGGGGATCGCCCCGGCCTCGAGGTACCTTGGCTGGTCGGATAAGATCCACCTCGGCAAAGAGCGGGGAGACTTCAACACATGCAACTTCAGGATCCCTGGTGTTCTCTCTTTATCTCTTGGCTGATGTCGGGAACGTATAGCAGTCAACGCTTGGAAGATGCATGCTGCATAGTGCGAGTGTCCACTCACTGTGGAGTACCTGCCCCAACCTCCAGCTTTCTTGGCCTGAGCTGACCCCATCTGGCTTTGCCTGTTTGAACTCAATTCTCCAGTGAGCTGGGCGACACCGACATGCTCATCGCTGGCTGCCCGCGCCCTCCGTTCTCCAGGAACGGGAGTGGCGGTTCCTGGACAGATGAGCGATCCAATGTGTTGCTGAAGACCATCGGTGCAATCCACCACCTCGCCAACCGCACCGTGTCGGGGAGCAACCCGTATGATCGTATCCCGAGGCCAGGCCTCAAGGGGTTCGTGCTCGAGAATAGCATGGGCTACGCCTTGTTCCCGCCTGCCACCCCGCAAGGTCACTGTGCCACCAAGCTATGGCACTGGGTCTGAGTAAGCCTGGACAACCCAAATGCAAAGCCTGTGCGTGGTCTTGGTGAGGGCCGCACTTTGCCACAATGCCTCAACACTTTTCCAGGGACCATGCTTTCAGCAGCCTCAGGTTTCACAGCTCACACGCCTGGAATCCTGCCGATGGGCATTGCGGGTGTCCAAGGGCTCCTTGACAGGCCTAAGGGGAAAGGTGAGTCGGCGATGACCCGTTTGTTGCGGGTCCTGTGCGAGGGTTTCGACAGGCCTGGCGATTGGGAGCTCCGCTGGTTCAAAATGAATACCAGCAACTACTTGCTTCCCCAGAGCCGCCCTCGCGTGTACATCGTTGGTCGCCTGGTGAGTCGGTCACTCGGTGTTCGAACATCGAGCGAGCCGAAATGCAACTCGAGCCAATCACACCATGCCGCCTGCTCTCTCCTACGCCGTTTAGCGTGTGAGTTGTGGGTTGCCAACCTCCCTTTGCCCAGGTGTTTGGGAGATGGCCACGTGATGAAGCGGAACATCGTTGACTTTCGCCCCAAAGACGTGCTGCCCCCGCTCATCGTGGCGCAGTCCTCTTCGGTGGTGCACTTTCTGGACAAGACGCTGCCCACGGACAGCTGGTTTGGTGAAACACGCCACTACTACTCACACAGTGTGCCTTGAGCGGATGAGGGTGAGGAGGAGAAGGTGAGGCAAGGAAGGAAGGTGAGGAGGTCAAGGAGGAGGGTGAGGATGAGAAGGACGGACCCCTGCCCCAGCCCGCCGCAGGCGATGCCCCCCACGCTCGAGATGGCCTTGAACCTCAACGCTGTGAAGCGCGAGGTGGTCAACATGATGAACAATCCCGAGTACGCAGACAAGGTGTGCATCTGCGACGTCACTCGCAGCGAGGACCACGTTTGCCCACGGAGGGAAATGAGGCAGTGGAGGGAGGAGGAGGAGGAGGAAGAAGAGGACGGGCAGGAGGAGCAGGTCAAGGAGGAGGAGGAGGACAAGGAGAAAGGAGAAAGGAGGAGGAGGAGGAGGAGGAGAAACGAGAAGGTTAAGGAAGGGGCAAAGGAGTGAGGGAGGAGGAAGACGAGGAGAAGGATGAGGGAGGGTGAGAGCTAGTTTTCAGATGAGACGTGGCGCCGCCAGTGACGGTGTCTGTAACACGACGGTCGTAGTCATATCATCGAATCAAGCCCTCATCGGCCCTCCCTCGTCCTCCGTCAACTCCAGGCGTAGTTGTGGGCCTGTCGATTCCCCCTGAGGACTCGTTTGGGGCTCGTTTGGTTCGTCCCTGGTTCCATCTTGGGGCTATCTGGGTGAGTCTGGAAGGCCCTTGGGGCCATGTTGGATACCATCGGTCAGATCAGGCGCAAGCAATAGTGCGTTTATCCAATACTCCTCGTCGGGGTTACGATCCTTGTGAGGGGTGTCAAGCTTTGACGCTCAACAAACACAGGAGGAAGGGGGTGAGGGAGCAGTTATCCGCGGTAATCCCCTCCCCGAATGGGTAGAAGGTGGGTGATTAGACCAGGCGACCTAAACCAACCGCACCAAGAATGGGGGTTAACTGAGCATGCTACTTCATCTTCCCCCCCCTACGCTGACGCCGCCACTGAGCCACGCACCATTACAAACACATCTGAGCATACAATCACGTGTAGTAACGCTCGCAAGGCTCTCCACCACGCACCGCACACCCTGCTCCAATCACCACTACATCCATATCACCTCTCCCACCCTCCTGCCAGCCATTACACAACCACCACCTCATTCTCATCCCACCACATCCACCAGGCCAACAACCCGCCTTCTCCAGACCCCATCCGCCGTAGTAGCATTTTGGCTTCGAGGTTCGTGCATTCGCAACCCTTGCCTGTTTTGGCATCGATTCGGTCCGACCTCCGCTGAGGACTGGGCCAAGTTTCTTTACGCAAGATGGCAGTGCCTCCGCCAGAGACTGGGGGAGCCACCGGCGCGGCGCCCTCCGCGCCGCCTGCTGGCCATGGCACGGCCACCCCCGACTCGCGGACGGGGAATGACACGCCAGGTGTGGAGGCTGCGCCGCCATCCCGCTCGAGTGCCTCCGCTTTTGGCGCGCTAGCAGTTGTGCCCGAAGAGTTCGAGGATGCCGAGGACACGTTCCTCTGCAAGAAGGAAAACAGAATGGTTCCAGTATCGGAGAAGTTCGCTGGCAAAGGAGTTAATAATGTGTGCTGCGACTGCCAGGGCAACTACAAAGCCTTGACGCGCAGGTGGAAAGGCAACAAAGGCTTGAAGGACTGGTGGAACGCAAAAAACGAGGACGATCAGATCGAGTGGTACCGCGAGCACAAGGCGGTCAACAGGGACAAGAAGAGGCACGCTGGCACCCGCCTGGACATCACAGTTGGCTGCACCAGGGAGAAGGGCACGGAGGGCAGGAGGCGCTACCACTATCGGCCGTACAGCATCGTGAGGGCTGAGCTCAAGCAGGAGAATCCGACCTGGACTGAGTCGCAGTGCGAGACCGAGTGGCAGAAGCTGCTCCTCGACCCCACCCAAGCCACCAAGCAAGATATCGACGGCCAATGGCTCCTCGGTAAATACCTCGGCGTCTTTGACGACGACGTCGACAGGTCCGTGGTCGCGACATCGCTGCTGAACCACAGGCAAGCTTCCACCGCAGAAGAAGCCCAGGGCATGTTGGATGAGGCGATGCAGCACATGAGCCAGGATGCAGGCAAGGCCAGCTCGACGGCCAGGAAGCTGATGCAATCGGTATCTGCGGGGACTGCGTCGGCATCTTTTCCTCCCAATCTCGTGGGAGGGGTGGTGTCGGCCGAAGGTGACGGTGACTCGGCGGCCTCAGCACTAACCAGCCAGCTTGTGGGCGCCTTGAGCCTGGCGGCGACTGCAGATCGTGCTGAGCAGGAGATGGAGCTGAGGGGGGAGGCTGAGGCTGCGGAGAGAGCTGCTGGGGTGAAGGCGGCGGCGGCCACGGCCCCAGATACGGTGAAAGGTGGGGCTGACGATGCTCAGGTCAAGCTCAAGGTGTCCCAGGTTGTTGACTCTGCAATACTCAGGTTCGAGAACTCCGTGGCCTCGACGCAGCTGGAGCTGACCCATGTCATCACTGAGATGAAAGGCATCGTGGAGGACCTGGACGCCAATGGCAAGGACGCCCTCAAGCAGGCAGAGGAGAAGATGGCCGAGCTCCCTGCCACAGCCGAGCTCGCCGTGAAGAACTTTCAGGACGCCAAGACGTGCTCGGACATGAACTCGGCCAAGATTGATTGCAAAACCGTCCAGGCGCCCGCGAACGCGCTGATCAAACCTGCCAAGGACGCGCTGCAGAAGGCAAAGGCTGAGTTCATGAAAGTGACCCGTGCGAAGCGCCCTAAGCTTGCTCGGTCCAACGCCTCAGACGACCTTGGACAAGCTACACGAGCACGGTTCGACTTCGCATTAGCACAGGTGGGAGCTACCTCCGATCACGTCGGCACCACCTTTGAGAATGCGTCCGCCGACATGCCATTTGTCCTGGACGCTGATGAGGTCGTGCAGCAGCTTCAGAAGGGCCTGCCCTGGAGGGAGTTCGACAAGTGGGTGACGAACCAGCTGGAGAAGGCGAGCTACCCTGAGGAGCAGCAGTTCGTCCAGATGTATATTCCACAGGCGTATGTCAGACGAAGATGAAGAGGGGGCTGCAGTTAAAGCACTCGACGCGTGATTTGAGGAGTTACAGTCCCAAGAGACCTCCTGGCCCCACGCCCCCCGCCCCCCTCACCCCCCCTCCCCAAAAAGAAGCCCCCAGAGGGCGGCGAAAGCGCCCCAAGCGGGCCCCAAGAGGACCCCAAGAGGACCCCAAGATGGCTCAAAGAGGGGGGTCGGAGGAGTAGGAGTATGAGTAGGAGTAGGAGTAGGAGTAGGAGGAGGAGGAGGAGGAGGAGGAGGAGGAGGAAGAACATGGGGAGGAGGAGGAGGAGGAGGATGCACCGTTGAGCGCAGTGTCTGCAGGAGCCCCTCCTCCTTTTCGTCTGGGCAGGCTGCGCTTATCGCACTGCTGCACAAGCTGCTGAAAGACAAGTTGTCTATGCCCATGGATTTTTTCAGGCGCCTGGGGTCATCGCTTCCACTTACGCCTGCCGCGGATAAGGACATCTCAAAGATAACCATCGTGCAAGCAGTCAAAGGTCACCATGCCTTTCTCCCGCCGATGTATGGCCTCAGCGAGTTTCGGTTCCTGTTGTCGGGCAAAGAGTTGATCATTGGCATTGCGCTGGATATCAACACGACTAGCCTCAAGGGCGCGTTGGATGAGTGCGAGAAGATGGATGGCTACAATCTGGCCAAGGCTGCGAAGGAGGCGGGTAATTTCGCTGTCGTGCTGACTCCTGGCAAGCTCGTGTGCCTCCCTGTGGGCTTCATCTACTTGACCTACCGCGTCGAGAACAGCCAGTCGATGAGGTGGTGCTATTTCAACAGGGGTGGCAGTTCCAGCAGCGTCGAGCTGGCGGTCACCAGGCTGAACCTCTGGGCCACTGCCCATTCATAAGGAACGGCGTTCAATCCGCGAGCCTCACGCCTCCAACGCCCACAAGCTTTAACAAAGAAAAGTTTGCCCCGAGGCGTGCAAGACGTGATGAGGAGTGCGTGGGGGTTGAGGGGGCGGGTTTTAGATAGTGTGTCTGGGTAATGGAGTGCACGGGGGGGTAGTGGTTGTGAGGATAGGGAGGGGATGGGGGGGGGGGGGTAGGAACGGGCCACTGTGGGGGCTTTGTGTACCACGCAGGGGTGGCCGTGGAGTGGTTGGGAAATAAAACACACTACTCTCAAAAGTGGGGCGTGGGGTTTCGGGGGGGGGGGGGAGCGGGGGGGGGGTCGGTGGCCGGGTTGTGGGGGGGGGGGGTGGGGGGGGGGGGGTTGGGGGTAGATGGGGGGCTAGCTGAGTGCCCCTCCATCCTGCCAGGCCTTTGAAGTAGCACGTGCTGCTCAGCGGATGTGGGTTTGCCGTTTAGGCCATAGCATGTGGGAGGGTCGAGGGGCCT